TTTTATCTTCTCTTGATAAGCATTTTTAAGTATTCTTGAATATGAGGCAGTTCCTTCCCAACTAGCCAACACATATGTGAATTTCATGTCAAATGAACACACAGCAAAAATATTGAGTCGGATAATCTTTACATCCTCGAAAACGGGCACCTTCTTCTTTAGGTACTTTTTTCCAAACGTGAGTTCCATCTATTGCTCCAATGCAATCGTATTATAAATTTTAGTTACACATAACATATATACTATACAATTACAAAAGCATGCACAGATATAAAAACATACCTTAAAATATGGGTAGAATATTTCATTATTAAGGATTTCTGGAGAAACCTCTGAGCCAGAAGGTTGCACAAGAAATTCAGCCTCAAGAGAAACAATAGCTTGTAATACATTATGAAAATGACGACTAATAGTTTCTCTAGACTGATTAAAATAAAAAGCCATCGTTCTACTTCTTACATTGTGTGCTAATGTGTGAAGAAATTTTGCCACCTGCTCCTCAACTGTAACATTTTTAGAATCTTTAACTCTACCAGTGTTTCAAAGTTTAGCACATAACTGCATAAATGCTCGTGATCCCATGCGAATAATATCACGACATTTTTCTGTTTCTTCTAATTGTTTCATGGATGTTCTCCTCATGGTTTCTCTTTCAACATTACCATAACTGATAGGCCTATCAACTAGTGTTGATATCTCTTCCAACAAATATAATGTATGTACAATATAACAAACAAGTTGTACAATCCACGTTCACCTACACCATTTCCAATCTTGTAACACATGGTTGAAGTTGAGGTTGAAGTTGAAATTGAACTTGAAGTCAGGACCTTTAGTTGCCACTTTAAAATTTGTGAACCTTTTAACTTCAGACTCAAAATCCAACATTTCTTCCTTAAGATCCTTGATCATTCCTTGTTTATTATGGTTGCTCATCTATAGAACAATCCAAAACCACACAACCACATACACACGTTGCAATGAATAACGATGAAGAAAATTATTAAGACCTGATTTAGCTTTTGCTAGAAGAGTATAGTTTACCATGTCATACAAAGCTGATACAAGACAATGAACATGCGTGATGATTTGTATTTGGATTTCATTACTTTTATATGAAGTATTGAGTCCAAGGAGAATGAATCAAAGGCCACAAATATATACTACTAAAATAAAGAATATTTTCATCACAAGTGCAATAATAGTAATATATACCATTAGAATAATCCACCAAGTGCAATGATATTATTTGTGTTTGCCTCCTTTCTATGGGAAACTACAAATATATGCTTTTAAGGCACTAGAAAATGTAATAATCAAATATGAGTATATATATATACAGCTTACATTATGGTGTTTTGGAGTCTTCTTATCAGTATGTAGGAAATAATTTTTTATTTCTCAGTAAAGAAATGAACTATATAACCTTTATAATAAATTTGTTTTTGTTTAATAGTGATAATTGTTATTTGTGCTTCTCCTAGAGAAGTAGACCATAAAATGACATCTAGCTCATTATTTGAAGTATATAACTTTTATTATAAATTTTTTTGAATAGTGATAAATTTGTTTTTGTTTATAAATTTCAAATGCCTTACACTTTGTATCATATGCCATGTAAAATTTTTGAATTCCATTATGTTTTTTCTAATAACTTGGGCGGTTATATAATAGAATAACTAATGCAAAATGTTAAAAGAGGACTATTCTGTTATGGAATAACTAATCTGCTAATTTAATAAAATATTTAAAAGAGAAAATTTTCTATGGAATAACTAATGCAATTTAAGTAAATCTATAAAAATAGAAAAAAGAGAAACAGAGTTGACTCCACACAAGCACTAATAAAAATGAAAGAAAAAAAAAGCATGATTAATAGAGACGATAAAGAGCATAGAAGTATATAACAGTTCACATCTTCAATCAGAAAGGAAATGTAGACAGACAAGTTGGGTTTGTCAAAATCAAGCTTCTATCTATGAACCGTATACTTTTTGAGATCCATATAAAATGAGTCTAAAGTGAGTGCTGTGATTTGTGGAGGCCAAGAACTATTTTTTAAAATAGTAACCAAATGGTGAGTTTTGGTTGGAAATTGATATTTGTGATTAGGCCACACTTCTTCTTCCTTTTTAAATCAGTTTTAGGTTACATATTGGGCCAAGAGAGCTCATAAATTTCGTGTAGGCCATGGCCCAATAATTAAAGAGGGTTAGTCAAGCCCAAAATTCAAAAGAAAAATCAAGAAGAAGGACACTTGGCTTTATCTGAAAATTTGAGGCATATGATGAGGAACACATGGCCCCTTAGGTAGCAGGAAATGGTGCCACAAAGGAGGGGAGAATGGTCAGATTTTTGCTCTATAAATACCCCCTAAAATATCCCAAAATTCAGCCAAAATAGAAAAATTAGGGAAAATTCTGCCAAATTAAAAAATAACCTCTAAACAGTACCCAAAACCCTCCAAATTCAAGGAAAACTATCAGGCTTCAAGCAAGGATCCATTAAGGTATGTCTAAACTTGATTTTGGTTAGATTCAAGGGTTGTTTTGATTGAAATTTCATGATAATTCTAAGGTGTGATGCTGTCCATTTTCAACCTGATTGAAGAAGCATTAGTGAAGGATAAAAACCATGAATATGGGCTTGAAATTACATGTTTAATTGATGTTTGGATTGAATTTTGGAAGAAAACCAAAGTTAGGGTTTTTGAACACCTTATGCGGCCACTGTGGGTTTTTGGGGTTAGAGTTTGTTTCAATATGATTTGATGATTCCAATGAGTTTAAAAGATGTTTTTGTGTAGGGAAACATTAAGGACAAGTGTTTAAAATCATTAGAATAAAAAATAAAAATTCTAGAATCCAATACTATCCTATTCGATCAACTCTAGTTGAAAGGGAAGGAATGTGATTTTGTTAAATCTGATTTGATTTTTGGATTCTACATGACAAATTTTGTACGAATGGCCCAAGAGATTGGTTGAAACAAAGAAAAAATAATTATGTCAAAAATCAAGAAAAAAAGAATTTAATTGAATTTAATGTCAAGCATTAGTGTTTATGCTTAAATTATTAGTAATTTAGAAAATGGTTATGCTTGGATTGATAGACACTTTGCAAGAAATCAAAGAGAAGCACCATTGTATCAAGGAAGCCGAATTAAATAAGTGATTAAGAGATAGTATTGAACTCATAATTTGAATGCTTTCTTACTTGTTTAAATGTGTATATGTTATTTGATTTATGTTACCATGATATGATTAAGGAAATTATATGATTATGGATGGAAGTCTATGTTGAATATGCTTTAGCAATACATTATGAGGAATCGCATAATTGCTTGATTGATTGCTCTCTTTCCATGGCAAATGATATGCACATGAAATATTACATAATGATGTTGATTTTATGTTTACATGTCACATTTTTACATAACATGAATTGCATGGTAATTATGATTCATTGCTGCTCAGATTTCTATGAAATCTCATTCCTCTGTGTTTAAATATTCATCACTAGGGGTTGGATCAAGCAAAGACAAAGGAAAATAGATTATTTTGGGAGATAATTGATTGTTATGCCTCTTTGAAACAATGCTTGTAATTATTATAGATTATTGTGAATTATGTTGAATATTGTACTAATGACCAAAAGTGATATTTATGTGAATATTTGATCAAGAAATCATGTTTTAGCATGGTATATGTGACTAAAATGGTTTTGTGTATTGAAAGGAAAAGAATAACCAAGAATGATAATTTAAGAGGATAAAAGTTGACTTTTTAAGGGTGAAGTTTGACCAACGAAATTTCATGCAATGGGTTGAGTTTTGACCTGAATTTTGACAGGCTTATATATCTTATTTTTAACTTTAAAGCAAGCGGTATTTCATCAAATTTAGGGTTTTGTACAAAAAGTTATGTCCTTCCAAAGTTGAACATAAATCCTGAAAAATTAAAAAATAATCATATGAGCAATACCACTTTGCACGAAATCTGGAACTAATTCGTAAGTTCTAGACACCAATGAGTATTTTTCCCTTAAAGATTGCATTAAAAACTTTAAATAGAATTTGAAACCACTTCATTTTGATTTTTCTAAAATTAGTTATGAATTTTTAAAGCGTGACCTTTATTAGGATTATAATGAATAGTAACCTAAATTTAAGAAATTTTAAAGTTTAAATTTTTCCAACTTAAGGCCATAAGAAATAATTCTAAATAGTTCCAATTGAGGTAAAATGTGGTCTAAAAATAAGATGTGACTGATATTTTCCTCTCAAATCTTATCTCCAGGTTACAACGACACGAGTGAAGGGGGGATAAGAGGAAATAGTGGGGGGTACAACAATGGCGTCGTAGCATTTTGATAGGGATGAGGATGAAGAGGGGGCATCCCTGATTCAGGGGAAATGGCTTTAAGTGCATGTTGTCTTTTGTTTTTTAAAATCACACATCCAAGTCAACAATTGACCAACAGCTCAATGCGCATGCTGCATAACCAAATTTAACAATGTTAATGCCACATAGGAAAGATTAACACCGTCAATGCCAACTCTAATAAGTATAGGGACTAGTATTTTAAACAAAAAAAACTAAAAGGCCAAAACTCATTGGTTGAAAATATAAGAATAAAAACAAAAATTCAATCAAAATATAAGGACTAAAGTTTGTATTATTAACCCATGCGTTTACTATAAAAGAGAAAAAAACATACTAACTTGCGGGTGCCTAATTCAAAATCAATTCAAAATCCCAAGCAATTTACTAGAAAACTGGAAGTAAGCTCAAATGAATCGAACTCAACTAAGATATTCGTTATTTACACATTCAATCTCTCATGTCTTGCATTACCAGTATCTTTCCAGAAAATCATTATATTCAAAGCTTCTTTCACTTCAAATTTCATATAAACATCGAGCTTGTAAAAAGTGATTTAGCTTTCTTATAAACAGGTTTTAAACGTTAGTTTACACAAATAATCATCCATACTCTGTTCTACAGGAACAGTTTTTTATAAAGATCGACAATTTCTTAAAACACCGAATTCACTTCCTTTCAAGTATTGTTATCATTTCTACCAACAGGAACTACAAACTGTTATATATATCTAAAACTCCACGTTAGCTCATGGACTCCATCCCTTCTCAAGATGAAGCACACTGGGCATCTAATTACAAAATTGATGGGCAAAAATCATGCCAATTACAATATTGCAGTGTCTCAATTCTTCAAATGCTCACAAAATACCCGCGAAGACGATCTCACTGCAGTGCCTAGTCAAGTTCAAAACTAATCTTCATCAGAACTACTATCTTCAGAGATTTTTCCAAAGTCATCTGATGCAACTTTTTCCTACATGCCAGTAGAAAAATAAATGGGTAAAAGTTGACATTTAGCTTAACTACAGACATCAGTTTCATATATATATATAAATGTAGTCTTACAGGAACTTTGTCCCAATCTTTCAGTCTTGAACTTGTCAGCATATAATTATCTCGTAATGGCACCCAAGCAGGCTCTTCGACTTCCAGTTTTTCTTTGCTCGTTTGAGCCTGCATATCAATAATTTGGCCAGTTACATAACTCATTAAACTCATTAATCATAAGGTAGCTACCACTACCTCCAAAAGGGTAGCTTCGAACTCACTCTCGCAATTGCCAGAGTTCATTATGAACAATGGATTATAAAGTGAAACAACGTGCAACGGTTAGTTTGAGAACTTGAACGAAAAAGTGTCATGGTGAGCTGGTTTTTTGTTTTCCTTTTTTTTTTTTTTGGGGGGGGGGGGGGGGGGGAACAGAATGCCTTCACAAACAAGGAGGACAGAGGGGGGGCTAAGCAAAAGACTGACCTTTCCAGAGGTGCCTGTTGCAGACAATGGCTTGCCTAACTCTGAAAAGAAGGCTTCTTTGGTCCGCTTTCTTATTTCTGGCAAACGACATAGACAAGTTAGAACTGTGCACAGATTGTCAGGCATGATTGGATAATCATTTGATTCTAATGAATCAATAACAATAATGATGATAATTTAAAAATTTTCACCAAGCCAAACATTGGAAGCAACTGAGAATTGGACAAAAAGCACCTTCGTGCATCTATAACACTACGACAACCACCATGGCAGATACATACAACACATTCTCGCGTTGTTAACTCTCACCAAAACAAACTGTTTATTAGACAGATAATAATGTTTTTTTTTTTTTATAATTACAACAGCAAAATTACAGCAAAAAAATAAAATAAAAAATAGCATTTATCAGTGAATGTTGAGGAGATGAAGATGCTGAGATAGATGCATATGCATACAAGAAAAAATAATATCCATAATGAACACACGACGAAAAATTGGTGTGGCACGTATTAAAGAGAAAATAGTAAAAAAAGGCCATTGAAGGTGCTAGAGTGGAAGGTGGAACAAACAATTGAGTCAAGTTAAAAGGGATAAAAGAAGATCGAAGAGAACATTCAAATAGGACCTTTTGGTCAATAATATATAGAAAGATTTAGATGTTGATGGAGCACAATGACATCACGCAATAGATATAGCCAACCTTCCCTAACAGGATAAGACTTGTTGCTATTGTAATGAACCAATTCAGATATGATCCTATGGCGATGATAGAGCAAAATAAACTGCCTAATATAACTGAAATTAAGAAATCATAATGGAATAAATTAAATTTATATTTAATGCTTGTCTTATACCCTTTTCTTCTTTATCACATATTAGTCTAACGTGGACCTGACATTTACATGAAAACCCTTTAGTACAAGACTCTTAAGATTGTTAATATTGCGACCCAGTAAGACTTTCTTGGCCATGTGATCATCAGGTTGGTATATACTGTCAACAAGAAGCCTTATTTCATCAAGGCCAACTACACGGACTACATGATGCCATTTTGCTCTATCAAGTATCCAAAACCAAATCCTTGGATATATTATCAACATTCTACATAATAAATAATTTGCTCCTAAACATTTTGCCCTTGGAATAATTTGAGATTTTCCTTTTGTCTGAAGTTGACGAGATGAGAAGGCATCTTGTGGAAAGAGAAATTAGTCGTAGATCGGAGTAAGGAGGAGACTAGGCTTTGGAAAGTTGATGCACTAGCATTCTTTTGGTTAACAAAAGGCTATCATAATTTCCTCAAGAAGCTAATTCACTATGGGCCGCAAGGTAAGCTTCAATATTTATAGAATGTTTTCAAATGCATGAGTGAATAATGTCTATTGAACATAAAGAAGTACGTCTTGTTAGAGTAAAAGATATCGTAAACAAGAATAAGAGAATAGACAAAAGAAAAGCCCTTAAAAATAGTAACAGTAAACAAGCTGTGCAATCCATCCATTTGTCTATCAGAAAACAGAAATAGTGGTTCCCCAAGAGAAACCACTGGATGAGTACCACTGAGGAGTCAGAAAGACAGGAAATATTTCAGGGTGTCACTTGTTCCCGGAAAAGAAAAAAAAAACGGTTCAAGGTATCAAAAATTTTCAAATGAGTTATGGAGGGCATGTAAATAAAAGGTGCAGAAATTAAACAAAATTCAGTAATGCAATTGGGTTGGGATAAAATAGAACTAGATTTTCCCTTCAGGAAATGCAAATTGGAATAACTAATCCCCCAAGGCTGATTTATTTCTTTTCCTGACTATTCAAATCTGCAAGTGTATGAAAGCCATATATTTCAAGTTTTCTCCTTCCGCTTGTTTTGTCAGCTTTAGCAATAACAGCATACCTTTTGCATCTTTACTCCTTAAAGGATTCAACCCTTTCTGAGCAGTTTGTGCCTTGTTGACCTGCAAAAGGGTAGTACAGTAATGGAAAAAGAACTAAATCACCAAAAAGAGGGAAAACCTGCCAAAGGAAATTTAAATGACAATCAAATACTTACAGCATTGAACAACTTAACCACTGAAAGCAATCCAGCACGATGACCAGACATGACATTAGTCCAAGTCAGTAAGGGGAAAAACCTATAAATCATGAAAGTAGACCTCTATTTGCAAGAGAACCCAACCAAAATACCTCCTTTTGTCGCAACACTTATTAGAAACTTTTCATGAGAATCCAAATAATTAGCTGGCTTGACGTGCCCCTTTTCTGCCAGCTGTAATGTTAACACTAATCAGTGTGATTGCCGTCAGGGGATACCATCAGACATACAAAACTAGATGCGTATAAATTTATCAACAACACATAAAAGTATGTTCTTAAAATACATGCTAGTTGGAATAACAGAGAAAACAGCCAGATTAAATAAGAAATTACCATTTTCTTTTCCTTCTTCGCCTCTCCCTTGACATGGCGTTCAGCCTCTTCTTCTGCAAGCTTGTCTGCAATAAGTTTCTTGTGCCCTGATAATACTGGACCCTACAAAACTATCAAACTGTAAGGAAACCAATCTCATTCTTTGTATATTCCCAATGAACAAGCATCTATCTTACCAAGGAATCTTCAGAAACACTCTTCTTCATAATATTCCTGAAGGCCATCCTGAATGCTCTACAACCTTCCGTAAATTTTGTTATTCCTGGCTGAATATCCCCATCTTCTCCTTCATCATCTGAAATGTCATTATTCATATCACTCACAGTTGGGTTACAAGCATCTTGTCCTCCTGCTTCATCGTCATCAGAGAAGTCATCACCTTCTTTGTCTTCCTCTTCAGTTACATTATTGGTAATTCCAGGCTGAATACCACTGCCATCCTCATCATCATCATCAGAATTATACTCCCGTGCTCGCTTGCGGATAAGTCTCTTCATTTTCTTGTCCATTTTAACTTTCTTCTGTACCTGGGGCGCTGGTATCAATTTTGGCCTTTTATTTGACTTCTTATGACCATGCCTTTTAAGTAACTGCCTCTTTTTCAGGCTTCTTCCAGATTCCAGCAGCTGGGTTTCTTCAGCCATGGACTGTATAACAGATAAAAACCCACATTAACAAAAGGCAGCATTTCTCTGCAATGTAAGAGAAAGAATTGTTATAAATTGAAAGGTTGAGAGTTGGGGGGAACTCGACTATTCGCCGGAAATAGAACCAAAACAGCCTCTGATATATATCACGGTAACGAGGTTGAGCAAAGCGAGTCAAATTTACCAAACAGAACACCAATTTGATATTTGAGATTAAGATTGTTCAAAGTTCACACCCAATCGAGTCTATTCAAGCACTTCAAAATATATAACAGCAGTTGTAGAAGACTAGGCACACTACATATCAGTTTGAATGTGCTAAAATAACAGTGTATTCGACCATTCATTCGATCTTTCGATTCAATTGTGTGAAAAGGGGGAAAAAGATGGTTTACGAGGACTATGCTAATGAACAAGGGCAAGTCAAAACTTCATTTCACAATTTTTTTTTTTTTGAGTAAACAAACGAAAGAGCCTCGTACTATATCAAGAAAGAGACGCTATCTCCTCAAAGACATAGACACAAATGCGATACGAGAATTAAACCCTAAAACCGTCAAACTCGCGTCATTCCGCTGCCCCACACATTATCGAATACCAAAACGGTAATGAGCGAGTAGAACCCACTAAACCAAAACTGAACGTTCCAGTAAATACTGAGTGACACTAAAGACACTCAACCAGCACCCAATTGCCCCATAAACCCCACAATTTTCCCGCGCCTTCCGAAAAACAAATACGAGTTATGTTAAAATACAGGAGGGACCGTGCCCTGACCTCTTTCTTAGATCCGGTGCCACAGAAGGCAGCAACAGTGGCGTCGACCAAAGGCACCTCAATCGGCTGGCTCAAATCTCTAAGCGGCTCGGCGACCATAGTGAAGAATTAACACGGCGGACAGTGATAAACCCTAGAAGGTGTACGGCAACCACGTACACCACCAAGCAACAAAGCCAAAACCCTGGAGGAGCGTCAGGTTCTAGTGAAAGAAGACGGGGGGAGAGAGAGAGAGCTAATGAAATTCCGGAGAGACTCGGAATGAGAGAGAAAAGCAGGGATGGAGGGTTTAGACTTCATGAGTGTATTTGGATTGGGATTCGGTAAAACTGTCTTCTAATTTAACTGATTTTGTAATTAAAATTAGAGTAAAAATCAGTTAATGTAATGATATTTATATTTAGATAGATATTTATAAAAAGTTAGTTAGAAAAGTTAAAGATATAGTTGGATTGGCATTGGGTAAAAGTCAACAAGTGTAATGTGATTTGTGTTTAGATAGATGTTTATAAAAACTCAATTGAAAAAGTTAAAAATTGTTTGGCCGATTAAATAAAAAAAATGAATTCAGTTGTAAAATGACCTAAAAGGATATGGACTTTATTAATAGTAGTGTTTAATATTTTATATTTTTAATGTAATAATAGTTTTTAAAAAATACCTAAAATTATTATGACAAAATAAAAATAGTTTATTTGTAAGATTATAAAATAAAAATATTTGTCACTTAAAAAAATTTGAAAACACATTGTAAATAATTAATTAAATATATATAATAAACAAACATGAATATAAATTAAAATTCATTTGATTTGAATAAAAACTCATTATGCTAATAAAAAAGATGAGACGAAGGGGAAAATGTGAGGGTAAATCTGGGTTGGTATGTTTTCAATGCTCATTTTTAATAATCACCGTTTGAAACTGTAATTTAAAATGGAAAAAGTCAGATTTTCTTCTGTTGATCTAACTGAGGTTGAAGGCCACAAGTTGGTTGGGTTTTTAGCCCATACAATGAACCATTTGATTCTAAATAAGTTACAAACTTCAATTTCACACTTTCCTAAAAGCTTTTATCGTTGCAAACTGCAGTTCAAACAAGTAAAAGTTGTTTAGATGATTAAATAAAAAAACGAGTCCAGTTGTAAAATGGTTGGAAAAAGCATAAACTTTATTGAATAGTAATATTTTATATTTTATATTTTTAATGTGATAACAGTCAAAAAAATACCTAAAATTTTTATGATAAAATAAAAATAGTTTATTGGGAGAATTATAATGAGGTCCTAAGTAAGGAAAACAATTAAAAAAAAAAGTCTCAGAAGTTGTCATTCTCACTCTAGGACTTGTCATTATAGGCTGTTGAGCTTATTATTGGGATTTTTTAGTAATTATTTCTCTTCTGTGGGATTTGATTATAATTCCCCCTAGTTTATTTGTGAGATTATAAAATAAAAATATTTGTTACCGAAAAAATTTGAACATATTGTAGATAATTAATTAAATATATATAATGGACAAACATGAATATAAATTAAAGTGTGAGGATAAATCTGGGTTGATATATTTTGAATATTCATTTAATGCTATACTAACAATATAATGCATTTTGAAATTGTAGTTTGAAATGGAAAAAGTTATATTTTCTTCCGTTGAGTCCAACTGAGATTGAAAGTTATAAGTTAGCTGGGTTTTTAGGCCATCGAAACAACTATTTAGTTCTAAATAACTCATAAACCGTAATTTCACGTTTTTTCGTAGATTTTTTTCATTTCAAACGGTGATCCATTCCATTTCCCACAGTGAGAGAAAAAAGACAGCTTGAATTTGAAGCAGAGTTGGGGGAAGAGAGGGAGGGCTTGGGAGTGGGAGTGAGAGGCGAGTGGATACAAACTCGGATGTTCATATGCGTTGCGGGAAAATCAAAAGCATTTGACATTTTTTTAGTAAAATTTTCAATTCAAATATCCAAATATTATGAATAAAAAATAAATATCAAAAGAATTTGATTGAGGAGATTGTTTTAAAGTTCCCTATCAAAAATTTTATTAATAAAATGACTTAAATCAAAGAATATGCGTCCTGTACAAAATTTACAAAACCATTACTTATGTATATGAAAATTTATCAGCATCAGCAAAAATTTAATATGAGATTTTTCTCTAATTTTTTCAATTTTGTTTTTTATTTAAAAATATCACCTTATCTAAATTTGAATTGGTATCAATATTTTTTGGGCACTATGAATTAATTTGAATGTTAATATTATACATAAAAGACAACTTACGGCTTTTCATTGTTAGATTCCATAAAATACTAAGTTTAAGGTTTAATTAACTGCTCCTCTATTCATTAATATATGAACAAATTGTCGGATTGATCTTTGTTTTAGGTGTTGGAACTAGTTTTCATATTTATCGATTTTTCATAAGTTACCGTTATTAATACTCCCTCACTCATAATCAAATAGTAGAGTGAAAAAGATATTAAGAAAGATGATTGTGATATTTTAGAAAAAACATATTATACTACATCCGTTCCTTAATATAAGAGCTTATTTAGCTTTTATTTTGGTTATAAATATAATATCCTGATCTACTTTGTCTCTTATATTTATCCTTTTTTTTTCAAAATAGTTATTGTAATAATAGTAGTTTTAGCCAATGCACTTGATTAGCAATAATATTTTAGAAAAAACAACACATATTTATTACAAATTACTAATTTAACTAGTTTTCTTAGTCTACTCAAATTAGTTAACTAACTCTTATGTTAAGGATAAAAAAATATTTCTTATAAGTAATTAACTTATATAACTTTTTTGGTCTGAGCAAAATAGTTAAATAAGACTTACACTGGGGATTGGATGAGTATTAACTAATAATACCACATACTGAATATTCGATGCAGGAATTAAATTATTTGGTGGAGATATTTTTAAAGAGAAAATATGCTAATAGAGGTAAGATTCATTTTGGAAAAAATAAAAGGAAAAAAATCTCCTAGTAAAAATTTTATTGATAAGGATAACTTGATAAATTTTTATCCATAAAAAATGCAAGTATTCTATAAATTTTACGTACACAAAGCATTGGTTCTCTCATTTAAGTCCTACTCAACAACAAAATTTTAACGGGCAAGTTTTCCCCAATCTTCCCTTCACTTTTTTCCTTGGGCTTGCTATTTTATATTATTGTAGTTTGGTTAGTATAATAAGCGCTGGATTCTATCAGAATGGGTTAAACATTTTGAAACTCTAGATTATAGATTTAAGTAAGGAACAAAGGGTGCCATCGCTAATCAAACTAATTAGTTCCACATTGTGTTCTCTCTTTAAACAAGGATAAAATTCTTAATAAGGACAATTGTCTTCTAGGAAAATTGCTTTGCAAGGATCGCAAATGAATCGAGTAAAGGTTTGGTCTAACTTGTATTTCTCTTACTTTTAATGTAAGATCTAATTAGGAAGTTGATATTAGTCTCATATATAATTTATTTCTCATATTTATCAATTTTTTTAAATTAAACCTATTAATATTCTAATAACAATAATAAAATAGAAGATAGAGGGAAAGAAGCAAGAAAGATGCTTAAGGTATTTAAAAAAAATATCATATTAACTAATTTAACCAAAATTCTTAATTTACTCAAATTAGTTAATTAGATCATACATCATCATAGGAGTATTAAATTATTATTTTAATTTTTTTTTAAGATTTGAAATTAAAGTTTTTAGTAATGACTTAAGTGAAGCCAGAAATACTCCTTAAATAAATTTTAAATTCAAATAAACAGTGTTAGGAGAAACTTTACCTTCAATTTTAAAATTTGGGGGACTCAAATTTAAATTACTCAATAATATATAATACCAAATAATATAATAGAATTTTTGAAATGTTTAATCTATATATTTTTCTTTAGTCGAATTATTATTTTGGATTATCTATATGGTACGATCGGATCATCGCTGCAAGTATCAAATAAATATATGACATATACACACCCCCTTGGGGAGGGGCGTGAATTTCTCATATTTTAAGCCATGTGCGGCCTCAATTCCCTTTTTTGGGCCGTCAAAGCATGGGTTCAATATTACTAAAATTAAAATACAATTAAACCTACACATACGGCGGCAAAAATAAAAAATAAAGTTACACATACATTCATGTTATAAAAATTAGGGAGTAGAAGAATAAAAGCAAGTAGCAAGACAATAAATTGGGAAAAGAAGATAATGCATTCACTTTCTCTTCTTGGCACTAATGCTTCATATATGGCCTTATGTCTACAACCATTAAAGTCTGAGTCTTGGGGTTTCAAAGAAGGGTAAACTTACAATTTTAATCGTAATCTTATTTTTTATGTGTATCTAATATCCTAGTCTTTTTAGTGATATAATTTTGCTTATAATCTTTTTTAGTATATCTAGAATCGAAATCTTATTTATAGTGCATCTAAAAAAAAATTACACCTCGCAATTTTGCCCATAACTTAAAATTGTTGGATAAAAAAGATAAATATATAATTTTACCGAAAATAAGATTATGATACTGGATGTACCAAAAATAGGATTATGAATAAAATTGTACCACTAAAAAATTAAAATACTGGGTATATTTAAAAAATAAGATGAGAAATAAAACTGCATCTTTACAGTATGGGAAACTCCTTCAAATTATTCAGTAAAGAGTTTGCGGGGCTTAGGACATCAAAGATTAAAATTCCAAGAGTTAGAAATTATGAATATCCATTCATATAATATTTATAATAATTCACATGATTTTTTTCATAGGAATTCATGGGACAAGTCTTAATAAAAGACTAATCATCCATTTTATTTTCATTTTCTAAGTAATTTTATTATTTAAAATAGTCATTTTGTATTTAGTAGGTTGTTAGAAAAATGATATATAAGATGTTTTTTTTTTTTAATACAAGATATATAAGATGTTATTTTACGTATTATGAGTATGAGTTGCCAAATAGGAAGTTCAAGGATATTATTTTAATATCTTGTTACTATATTTTTTATTTAAAATCGAGATAGATAGCATATCTTTAGAATTTATATTTTTTTAATCTTTACAATCTCATTAAGATTAAAATTTTTATCTATTTAAAGAGTCAGTTGTAGGCTTGTAGTAATTAATTCATCAAGTCATGAATAAGAAGTCTTTTTTAGCAAGTGTTCATGAATAAGAAGTCTTTTTTAGCAAGTGTTTACTTATGAGATTGTATTCTTGATAGCAAGGATTTGATGTCTTTTATAATTAAGGATCTAGAAATAAGAGTTTTATATCATCAAATTTTTATTTTTATTTTTTTTAGTGGAATCATCAAATTTTTATTGTTTTCAAGTTATTTCCTAACTTTTTATGAGAATCCGCATCAATTTTTGTTCTAATACACTAAGGAAAGAGGAAGGAAATTTATAAATTGTTAATCTTAATAAACTCTACTATAATCACAATTTACACGTGGTATCATCAATCATCAATTTCCTAATACATTATAATCCAGAAGACATCCACTTAACCATATTAGAGGGGAATAAAACATTACTCTTTAACATGACATTCTCTTTTATTCCTTGACCATCTAACACATTTCTTTAGGATCTGTTTGGCATAAGGGAAAATGAGAAGAGAGAAGGGGAAGAAAAATTTTAATAAGTTCAATTTAAAAAATTAACAAAGTGGATTAAAAGCTTTTAATTAATTTTTATTACTTTTTATATTACTTCTTCTTTTTATTAAAATTTTAAAACCACGCTTTTTCAATTTTTTAGCCAAAAAAATTAAATAAATTAGTTAATTAACAGTCACGAGGGGACAAAAACTCAACACTCAAGTGCATCCTGCGTAAGGAAGATCTTATGGCCATTTCTTGCAAGGTAATCTACATAACTTCTCAATGCTTCTCTACTGAGCGTAGTGTAATCTAATATCCCAATCTTCATGCATACGTTGGAATTCTCCAGCAAAAATGTGTATATTGGGCCTCCTTCTCTCCATATTAAGTTAATGGCTTCAATGGAATCTATTCTTTGTATGTTCCCAATGAACAAGCATCTATCTTACCAAGGAATCTTCAAAAACACTCTTCTTCATAATATTCCTGAAGGCCATCCTGAACGCTGTACAACCTTCTGTAAATTTTGTTATTCCTGGCTGAATATCCCCATCTTCTGCTTCATCATCTGGAATGTCATTATTCATATCACTCACAGTTGGCTTCCGAGCATCTTGCCCTCTTGCTTCGTCATCATCAGAGAAGTCATCACCTCCTTTGTCTTCCTCTTCAGTTATATTATTGGTAATTCCAGACTGAATACCACTGCCATCCTCATCATCATCATCAGAATTATACTCCCGTGCTCGATTGCGGATAAGTTTCTTCATTTTCTTGTCCATTTTAACTTTCTTCTGTACCTGGGGCGCTGGCATCAATTTTGGCTTTTTATTTGACTTCTTATGACCATGCCTTTTAAGTAACTGCCTCTTTTTCAGGCTTCTCCCAGATTCCAGCAGCTGAGTTTCTTCAGCCATGGACTGTATAACAGATAAAAACACACATTAACAAAAGGCAGCTGAATAAAGAAATAGACTTAGGGATAGTAATTGACCCAATTAAACTAGGAAACGACCAAAGCCCCGTGAAATTTAGCCCAGAAGATTAGTGGAAATCCTCAACATTTGCGCCCCAAACTTTTAACCTAGCATAACGAGATGGGACCTACTCTGAAAGAAATAGAAACAGGCCAGAAAGCGAAGAGGCACAAACTAAAAAAGCAAGGTCTATGAACCTCTTCTGCCATCTAGAGGTGTCCATGAGATGAGACAGGGATAAAGACCTCGTAAATTAGCCTTTTTATTGGGCTTGAGTCAGGATTCTTTGTGTCCTTTTTGTTTTTTTTTTTTGGCCTTTTGCTTTGAGCCAAATTTTTAACTATGACTGGGCCTTTGAAAATGGACATATATTTTTTAATTTGTAACAAGGGATCATTTCTCTAAAATTTTAATGCGTCTTTGGTCACCTGTAACTGTAAGGGTGTTCAAGGCCGGCCCATCCCGGTCGGCCCGTTCCGGTTCCGGTTTTATTGGGATGGGACGGATCCGTCCCAAAATTTTTCAGGACGGGATAAACCGGGACGAGACAAAAAAGGGACCGGGATGGGGTCGTCGTCCCGTCCCGGTTCCTTTTTTTTTTTTTTTAAATTGTTTATCCTATTTATATAATATCATTTTTTTCATATTTTTTTAAGATTTGAGACTATTGCATGGAACTATGGATATATTTATTTAGAGTTTTTATATTTGTTGATGATTTGAGATTATTGATGATTAGAATTTTTAGCAAGTTTTTATTGTGTTAAAAGCTTTTATTTAGAGTTTTTAATGACTATTATATGTAATATTTTGAACTTTTGTTTAAGAGTGTCCAAACAAATAAAAAAAAATAAAAAGATGTTTTATAATATTTAAGCTCAAAAAAATATAATTAAAAAAATCAGATTTTTTTTTAAAAAATTAAAAAAAAAATTTCGGGATGTCCCGTTCTGACCGGGACCGGGACAATCCCGGGATGGGCCGGGACATGGGATAGAAAATCTGTCCCATTATTGTTCATTGGGACGGAACTGGGACGGGCCTGTCCCGGTCCCGATCCGTCCCGTGAACAGCCCTAGTTACCTGCGACTCTCGCTAATTGATTCAAGCCAGGCGAAGGCAAGAAGAATCACAACTAATCAAATGGGGACAGCTCACAGTGAAGGCAAGAAGACGGCAACGTGGCAGTCTCACGAGGAGCAGAACTAGCACGAGGAGAACAGGGCAAGAATTGAATTAACGGCAATGCATTTAGATCGGACCAACAATAATTTGCAATCACCCATGTTTGTGCTTAATCTTTACAAAACAAAGTCCCAAAATAAAAGAATGTTTAAATCAAGAGAGAGCATAATCTTCTCATTGCTTTGTCCTATTTTCTGCACATGCCATTTTAAATAAAATAAGTTCAAAACAATGGAAGTAAAAGAGATAAAATGAGTGAAAACTTTCCAACAACGAACAGGGCAAGACCCATAGGTGCGAGAAGCTAACAAAGATGAGTGAGAACTAAGAACAATGGAGAGCTGAGAAATGAACAAAGTTGAAAGAGAAAGAACACAAGAAAAGAGAGAAACCTGGTAGGAAGCGAGTTATAGGAGAGGGATGATATGGCAATGTGTAACCTTTGGTTGAGGTGAGAGGTGACGGACGAACAGTAACAGACAATGATGGGCTGAGAGTTAAGCAAGGTTGAAAGTTGAAAGCTTGCGTCGAAGCGACAAGAAGGAATTATCTTGACCCAGGAGGAGAGAGATTGGAACCTAAACTCGTAAGGCTAAACAGCAACGGTGTTGGCCTAATAAAATAAACTGTGATCTCACCTAGCAAGACCGTGAGTTATCGGTAGACTGTTAGACAGTGATGACTTCGAGGATGCTGGAGAAAATAGCGACGACAGAGGCTCTTGAGGGGAAGAAAGGAGTCGAAGGAGTCGAAGGAGTGACAGGGGCCGAATGGGGTTAAAAATTAGGGCATTTGCCAGTGGTCTTTCGTGAATTTGTCTATATTTGCAATTTTTTTTAAAAATTATATACACCAAGACAGGACCGGGACAGGACAACCCGTCACATCTAGCATTTTATGACTAAGGTATAATTACTCTAAAAATAGTTAAGGGTCAGAATATTAGTGTTAATGTAGATTGTACAACTTTTGATGTCAAATCAGGATAGGAACCGAAGTGGAATTTTTAGTATTTTGAGTAAGTCAGTATAAATTAGAGAAATATGACAGAAAGCTCTGAAAATTTCTAGAAAACTCCAGAAATTAGAGGAAATTCTCTGGAACAAGATGATGGTCCTAGAAGTCAAAAATATGAAGGAAATTAATTAATATTAATTTTCTAGTAATTTTCGCGCTATTTGACTAATTAGGAAAAATTAGTCAAATTTAATTATTTCATGTACTCTAAGGTCTCAGAAAATTGAAAAAAAAATATATATAATACCTTGAAAGTTTTAGAACATTGTAGAAGTAATTTTATTCCCAAACTAGCCCCAGAGTAGCTTTAAAAATATTTAAAGCTTATTTAAGCCAATTAGGGCTTTTATCCGGGAAATTCAAAAAGAAATATCTAGAAGGGGAGTTAAATTCCAAAAAAATTCATGAAATTTTCTTGAAATTAAAGAGAGATTTTAAAACTGACAAAGAAATTTTTTGAGTCCTGAAACTCTAGAAAGCATTTCCAAAAGGAAAAGTGATAGTTTTAGCCACTATTTTTTACTAGGATTTCTATTCTTTTGAAAGTCATTACGAGGGGTGATGACTCAAAAGTAAAAGGTGATGACTCAAAAGTAAATGATAAAAGATAAGGATAGGTGGTCAAAAATATCAGGGACAATTATGGTGCTGTCAGTACAAAAGTTACTTATGCCGGTAGAAAGTTATACAACATATATTGTGAAAAATCTTCTTCCTTCTTGACTAATCTATTCTTGGTGCCACTTGGAAGGTGGAAGAAGCAAGGAGAAGTTTCAAGATGTGCATGACATAAGCCCTTAGGAATTATGACTTCATATATATCAATTATCAACCAATCACATAATTTTGGCTATTTGAAAAAAGTAAAGGGCAAAATTGTGCAAAGACCTTTATAAAATCCCATCTTCCTCTCCCATCTCCCTCACATTTTGGTTCTCATAGGGGAAACTCTTGAGAATTGAAAACTTGAAGCTTGAAGAGGAGAACAAGGCAAGAAATCAACCAACCAAACTTGGAACCAAGGTTAGTAGTTAATCCTAGTTGGTTTAATGCTTAGAAATCTTGGGTTTTATGGTTGAAAATCCATAATTTTTCCTTCCCCTCTTGCTGACCGAAATTATAGAGGAATGGTGGAGGATGATTTTGATAATGGGAATTAGTTTAAGAGGTTGTTTATGACTTGAATCAAGTAGTATTATGTGATTATGGTTGATAATGTTGTTGTTGGAAATTTGGGTGAAAAAGAGAAAGTATTTCGGCCTAAGGGGTTCAAGAGGAAGGAAGATGAATTTTATAATTTTGAGCTCATGTTTGGATTCTCTGTGAAAAATCATATAGGATTGGCCTAAAAAAATAATTTATGGATGGATGGAAACAAAACTCAAAAATTAAAGAGAAAGAGGTTAAGGGTTTTATTCAATTTAAACATTAAGTTTTATTATGACGTGAAATATAATAGTTATACCCCTTGTTGGATAGGCTTTGACATTTGTGAAGGAAGGAGTCAAGAACAAGAAGAGAGTTAAAGCTTACTCTACTTGAGGTAGCAAGATTTAATTAACTTTATTGTTAAAATTGCATTGTTATTACACTTATGTTATTGCCTTTGGATGGTTGAGCTATATAAAAGTTTACATATGACTTGTAGTTCCTCCTTGCAATGTTATGCCTTGGCTATTGCATGTTAGAGTTTCACAAGGTATGAGTTAATGTTAGTTCCCTAACAATGGCATTTAGTAAAGTTGTGTGATAATGATGCTTGTTAATGCTTAGTTGATTTTATCTTGCTATTGGGATTTCTATGAAATCTCATTCCTTCCAAATTTACCATGATTCAAGCAGGGGCAAAGGTGCTTCGAAGAGGGAAGAGGATAATGGAAGAATAGCTTCATAGGTTTATATTCCATGGCATAAACTTGATATATGTATGTAATGATGCTGGATATTGTTGCCTATGGAGTTGTAAATTTGATAAATATTTTGAAGTAGTTCTAAATGAATTTGGCCATGAGATTTGTATGCTTAAAATACACATCTTGAGCTTTAATTCCATGGGTAATTCACTGGGATTGGAGATGTGTGCAAATTATAGTGATTTTTCAAAATCAGTGCTTTAAATCTAGAAAACAATTTAACCATATGAATGGTGTAAATTCCATACAGTTCTATCACTGTTCCACAATGAGTTAGCCTCTGAAAGTATTTTCTTTATGTAGATCTCTTTGAAAGCTTTCAGTGACTTGGAACCATCTTGTTTTGATTTTTCTAGAATTAGTTATGAATCTTCAAAATTGACCCAAAAATCTGGATTTACCAAATGAACAATAGCAGGAAAGCAAAAATTCCAGATTTGTTTTCTTGCACTGTAAGCCGTCCAACGTGGTTCCAATTGACATAAAATGAACTCAAATATAGTCTATAGCTAAGGGGTCACAAACCACATCCTGCGTCCTGTCTAATATTCTGTCGCATCTCAGAATTGTCTCGTCCTGAAAATTTTTTTGTCCCATCTCATCTCATCCTAGAGTCATCAAAACTAAGACAGACCCATCGGAACGAGAGAATTTGAACACTTCTAGTTTATAAGTAGCTTTTTAATCATCATTATAGAATACGAGACAAATATATTATAGAAGTTTTGTCTCAACTTACATGAATTGTGCTTATAAGAGATTTTCACTGCTATCTCAAACAGGCCCGAGAAAGCAACGGGAGATTGAATTTTCGCATTGGTTGAT